GAGCTTGAACTGGACAATTTAGATAGGATGTCATTAGGGAAATTATTTTTAGATATATTGGAGTATCTTTATGGAAGACATGCAATCTGAGGAACCATGACTTTATGGAAGATGTAATCTGAGGAAAAGGAGAAATTCTGAGCTTGTAAGGAGAAAGGAAAGCTGTGTCCTAGAGAATGCAGAGATGACATCACACTTCTCTGGGAGAGGCAAATGATGAGCCAGCGAATAGAAAAAGAAATGAGGAAGGATTTGGAAGCAGAAGCTGCCTGTCTAGTGAGTTCACTGATGTGTCGAGATATCACCAAAACCTCTGAGGGAGAAAGTCCCCAGTCAAAATAGTGGTTAGAGAAATTCGAGGTGTCAGTGTTGCAGACTGTTTGGGAGAGAGTACTGGGTAAGCTGAACTGAGGTGCTAGTGAGATGATGTTTGCAGAGGTGCGTATGAGAAACGACCGGTTTGCTGAGGTGAAGCTGTAGGAGTGGAAAAGAAAGCTTTGGAAGTGGTTACTAAGTTTGGGAGTAGGGACTTGTGAGACTGTAAGAAATGATAGTATTATACTTACTTGGCAGGGGAAATACCATGCTCACGAAGGTGGTTTTCCCAGGGCGAGGCTCACCCACTGCACTCTGGATGTACTGACCCCTGCGATTTCCCCAAATGTGGGAAACTCGACTGCATAATTTGTAATAGTGGGTGACTGCGTTCATGCTTTCCCCTAACATGATAGTTAACAAGTACAGATTGAACGGGATTTTCCTTCTTTTTCAAACTGTTTGTATATGTTCTTTTTTATAAAGTTACTTGCTCGAATTGGAAAAAAAAAAAAGAAATGATGGTACTAGGAATAAATAGCTTTGCCATTACCTTGCTTAATTTGAGATGACATCAAGTTCATGACTTTATGGGAAATTTTAATATTTCAGACTTGCACAGATTGAGAGACTATGTATTTTCAGATCTTTGAAGTTTTTATTCAGCCCAGCATTCAAGTCTTAGCTCATAGTCTTTTACTTTGTTTAAAACTGAGTTGGAAAAAAGTGAGCAATTGAAAGAAAAAGTATGAAATAAACTCTTAAAGGTATAACATGACATCAGTTACAGACCAATTTATTTTTATCTCCATTTTGCATATAATACATAATTAGCTTACACAAATCTCTTTGTACTTCTAAAAAAAAATGCCACAGTACTCTGGCTTCCAGTTTGTGGGTTCCTAGATTATGTACATATAATGCATTTCAAAGGTCCAGTTTATGTAAACCTCTTTACTTTAGATCTAGTCTTTGTTCCTATTAGAACAGAATAATGAGCTGCAGATGGGTTTCTTTTAAGAGGACTTTTGAAAGAAAATATATATAAATCTTGATTAGATTTTATACTTAAGGGAGCCTGGTAAGGTGTGGGGTAGGGTAGCAGCTCTGTCATATACTCACTTTTATGCTTTTCTATTCCCTAGGCAAGACAAATCTCGTTGGGAAGTCCTCCAACAAGAGCAACGGCTAATGGAAGAGAAAAATAAACGTAAGAAAGCTCTTTTGGCTAAAGCTATTGCAGAAAGGTGAGGCATCAGGACCAGGAGAGGTTGTGTATAATCCACAGTCGTCAATTCTGTTACATTTTGCATTTGTTTTCATGCGTCTGTTCTAATAAACTAATATTTTCTCTACAACCATTACTTTTAAGGCTAACTAAGCAAATTATGCTTTATATAAATGATACTGAAATTCCAGTTTTAATTTAGCAAAGAGGATTTTCTAAGCATGCAGAATATTAAATTCATAAATACAATTGCAATTAAAACTTAAGGACCAGCATTAGTGTTTTCGACACATTCATAAGAGAAACAGTAAATAGCTATCAGTATATGTAAATTAGCAACAATTGCAGGTTTTAATTTGATGTGGGAGAGGCCTTAAATCATCTGACATGTAGAAGAATAAGGTTATTCCACATAAGTGGCTTATTCTTTGACATATTTTAGTTGTGTTTACTGTGCATACTTTTTTAAAATAATTTAGCCTGTACCCACTAGTAGAAGATACTGGCTTAACATTTTCTTGCTGACTTTGGGCCACCATTATGCGCACCGTGTGAGATTCCATTTTCTTTCACCTGCCATGTCTGTCCCCTTCTCATTACTCTATTGTACCAACCGCAAACAGCAACATTCCCATTTGAACCAGTCTCCTATCCCCCATCACTCTTGATGCCCCTTAAGTTTGTGCTTTTATCTAATCTGTGACCTTAGGACACTAAGCTTAGTCAATAAAGCAGTGGCTAAGAATAGTGAAAATTAACTGTAAGCAAGCACTCAGTGACATTTTCTTTTTAGACTTTCAAAAAAATCTGACAAACTATTATTATTTGAGTCTAGTGTATGTGGAGTAGCAGGAGCAGAGGTAGGAGAAATTTTCTGCCAAAGAGATACATGTATTTGAAAATGATTTTTTTCTGCTACTGGTATACCTTGATCTTTTTTAAAACACAGGAAATATGCAACCAGAGTACAGTGGTACGATCATAACCACCACAGTCTCAACCTCCTGGGGTCAGGTGATCCTTTCACCTCAGCCCCCAAATAGCTGGGACAACAGGCATGCACCACCATGCCCAACTAATTTTTTTTATTATTTTTTTATAGAGACAAGGGCTTGCTATGTTCCCCAGGCTGGTCTCGAATTCCTGGGCTCAAGCAGTCCTTCCACCATGACCTCCCAAAGTGGTAGGATTACAGGCATGAACCATTGTACTCAGCCTTCTACAAGTGATTATTTTTAAAAAATGGTTCTCAGTCTCTCTTTCTCTCTCTCTCTGTCGCTCTCTCCCTCTCTGCAACTCTCTCCCCGCCTCTCTCCCACTTCCTCTCTCTCTCTTACTCTCTCTTTCTCTCTCTTTTTCTTTTTTCCCCATTACAGATCCCCTCTGTAACAACTGCTTTAATAAATCTCTTGGTCCTGAAAAAAAAAAAAAAAAAAAT